AGTGCACGAAATATTTTCGTGACGACCTAACGCTTGCCTTAGAGAGGACGTGCAATGTTTCAATTCTATTTGAGAACCATCCTCAGAGATACGAAAATCTAGTTTCATATTAATCTGACACTGTCATCGACCAACGAAAAATTCGTTGGATCGAGCGGGATTTGAACTCGCATCTTCGGATATCTAGACCGCCTGTTGACATCTTCGGATACCCGAATATGCGAGTTCAAATCCCGCTCGAACTAACGAATTTTTCGTTGGTGGATGCAGTGTCAGATTAATATGAAACTAGTTTTTCGTATCTTTGAGGATGGTTCTGAAATAGAATTGAAACACTGCGCGTCCTCTAAGACAAGCGTTAAGTCGTCACAAAAATATTTCGTGCACTTAAATTGGATAAGACTCGCTACCAATCCCTGTTGGCTCGATAGCTCAATAGGTAGAGCGGCGGTGTCGCTAGATATCCAAAGATGCGAGTTTAAATCCCGCTCGAGCCAACGAATTTTTCGTTGCTCGATTGCAGTGTCAGATAAATATGAAACTAATTAAATGTAATCCAACTTCAGCGTGTTCGCTTACGTTAGATATTAAATTTAGCAATATGATTTTGTAAGTTAAACCGGCAAAATAATTCAGACTTTTAGCTGTCCAATGATGAATTTTAAAATTCATAAACTTTAATTTAAAGAGTAATAACATTCGGTCGCTTTTGTTTTAAACTAAGTGTTTGCGATGACACATTATACGGGTTAATAATTATTTCTTCTTTCCAATCAATTCAATTTTTTTCAATTTTTCAATCGACTTGTAGTCGGTCATTTTTACTTGAAATGATAAAGAAAAGCTGTAATTCTAGAGCATGCATCCTAATTTTTTGTTAATATGTGAGCTTGAAGACTAACTAACAGCACCCTAAAGCTGGTTTCGCTCTTTTAGACACGCTGCATATGATATAAAGTTTTCAGGTTGAAAACACTCGTGCCGCCAAATCTAAAGAGCTGCATGGCTAAAAATTAGAAAGAAATAAAATACTGTGCAACGAGACAATTCTGCCAGGTCGGTTTTCACCACGCAAGTGAAGATTTTGGGAACAAAATTTGTGGTAAGACAACGAAGATAACTGCATATTAATAAGTATCATTATACAGCTTTTATACCTGTCAATGATTTCACAACAAGAACGGACAAAACAGCAAACGCTAGCATTCCCTTGTTGACCATTTTTCCTAGATATTAAAAAAAAAGACAAAGAAACGCATGAATTCATATAGAGAACGCCAAAGCAAATCAATTAATATATCGTTTCAAATAATCTAGACAGGCTCACCAATTAACCAGACTATAATTTACAAATTCAAAACTGATCTGAATTTTTACTGCTTTTTCTTTAGTTCGTCCACACATAAAAGGCTCCTTCGAACTGACGTTTCTTTGGGTAGAACCCAAATTTATACAGTAGCAATTATTTGCTTATTACTTAGCAGAACTTCAGGGATACAAAATGCTTATTTCCTACACAAGGAAACCGCGAGTATCTTCCACTTATGTATAAACATCCGCTAAAAGGGTAAAAATCAGAGAATTATCAAACATTAAACAACATCCAATATTTTTTGGCAAATTAATAACAAAACATTACGAGATATGCCGAATATCTAGATACACTAACTATAGATGACACTCAAAGATAGTTCCAAAATGTGTTCTGGTTTGGAATGTTAATGCAAAAATTATTATTTTATTACATCAGTTATTAAATTCTGTCATTAACGCATCCGATTGTCATTATTAAGGAACTAAAGTGCAAATTGTCCAATATTCGCAATTTGTCGACGTCAAACGGCAATCTTTGAAATGTGCATGTGTCGGAATCGAACGACTGAAGTGACGTTAAAATTAATAGAGTTTGAGGTCAGTCTTTCATTCACGCGGTAAATACATCTTCCATTTTTGAAGCAACGACGGACAATATTTTCATTAAGAGACAAAAAGAATTGCAGTGCAACTGCCGGTAGGGTATGTATGTTTCATTTGAAGGATATGCAAAAAAATTGCTGCATACTTTTTGATTGCAATACTTTGTTATGCATATTCTAATTCTACCTGTCACAGCATCACGTTATTTATTGAATTTATTGCTCAACTACGATTTAGCCAGACACAGAACACGACATTTAGATGCGCAATCAAGACTCCAAATTCGCGTTGGTAAAGTACATTTGATATTGAACAACGGCGCTTCTCTAAACTCATCAGCATCTATCCAACATATTGTAGGGTCTATCGGCTACAATGACGAAAATCCGGTAAAGGGGTAAAAATTTTTTCCGCTATTATCAAAAGTATAATGCGAGAGCAGTGTGTATTAAAAGAAAATCCGCCATAGCTAAGAGGTAATAAATTTACCGGTTTTTATGAATTAAGGTTTTGTTTCTCTTTCTTCTCATCACCGTCACCTGAAGAACAGCTCTTGTGGGAGGGGCCCTAAAATCTGGAATAACGATACACTATGCTTTTTCCGGGTTATATTTATAAACTCGTCCCAGAATGCATGTCATGCTCTCCTAGAGAGCTTAGAGATTTAAAATTTCTCTTCTTTTGTTCCTTGGTCATTCGCGCTCGTGTTTCAAATTTTTATTTGCTTTTCTCCCGTCCTTCCTCCACTCAAAGTCCAGGCACTGAGGATGTCACCGATTGAATTGTAAATATCAAAATTTCGCGGATTGAATCAAGTTCTTAATATATTGCAAGAACTTGGGAGAGCATGAAGAAGCGTAAGAGCTGGTCTGATTTCATTTTCTCTTAACGCTAGCAAAGATTAAAACTGTCACTTCTGATTGGACGCTTGATAAATGCTGAAGCATAGAATCGAACAAAAGCAGCTAAACTTGAGAATTATCTTCATGAGATTATTCTAAAACTTGGTTACGCTTGATTTATGCTATGCTTCTAAAACTAGGAGAGTAGTGACTAGGCATGTGAGTTATCTCAGTAAAGGTGTCAATTGGGTAGCGACGATATAAACAGCGTTAACAAAATTTTTCAATAGCTAACATTCACCGAAGCACGCAAACGAACGTAAAGCCTCATTACTGAACGAAACAATCGTCAAAACTTCAGTTCCCTATTGGCTGATAGCACTCAATCCGTTCTCAATAACTTTCAAGCTCTTATTGGATAAACGTTTGGCATAATTTATTCGCACGAAAGTTGGCAGTGTGTTGGTGATTTACATACGATTGCTTACGTACGGAACGTAAACTCGGAATTTTCCTGCACGAGATGTTATAACTCAAACTAGTTTTTTCATATAAACAGTGTTAACCAAATTTTTCAATTAAACTGGAAGCACTAAAATATGATTACCCAAGTATAGCAACTGTTGAACGAGTCATACTCATAGGTGTTCCACTTATGGTCGCAATAAAACTGTTTATTCAGTAATTGACGGTCACATTTAAAAATTTGTTTTCTCAGCAACTTTTTCCATATTTAAATGATTATTGAAAAGTGTATTCTAATTCTTCCACTGACAGCGACAAGTTATATATCTATCCCTCAACTGCCATTTAACTCGACACTTTCACGTCATGTTACTCATGGCAACACGATATTAATTGCTTTTTAATTATGATATTTGCTGTGTTGGTGTAATGTAATCAGTGAATAAGATGCTTGTGATGTTACTCTGAGTGAAAATCCACATCGGGCAAGCTTGAAAAATATGCCCGGCCACGGTGGAAATCCAACCTACGACATTTCGAAAACTAGCCCAATGCTCTGTCAAATGGGCTACGCGGTCAGATCGGTTCAAGTATGTGATATTTCGGAACTGAGTCTAGTTCCTTTGATATCAATGTAATCTAATAAGAAACTACTGTTCCGAAAGACTAAGTTCCAAAATATCACATACTCGAACAGACCTGACCGCATAGCAGAGCATTGGGCTAGTATTGGCAGAGCATTTGGCTAGTATTTCAAAGGTTCGATTCCGCCGTTGCCTGGCATGTTTTTTAATTGTTTGTACAAACCCGCAAAAAAATAGATGAAACTTGAAAACTTTTAGTTTTAAAACTGAACTATCAATTTCTAAAATATATAAAATGGGTATATTATTTTGTTTGTATGGGTTTAGTAACAATATTATTGAAAGCTTATTAGACGGATGAGACAAATGATTTTATTATACGGCGAGCATTTGGTTTGAAATTAGCGAGTCGACCGACTTTATCTGATGGGGCACAGGGGGTCAACTTCGTATTCTGGCATATTAAAATGAGTGCTGGCGCCATTATTCATTGCCGTTTTGTTAAAAAGAAATTTCAAATGTAGCCAGCTTACACAAATATACTCACTGACATACGCCAAAAAAACGAATCGTACACGATTAATCGCAGCGTGTAAACGTAGTTTATTAAGAGAAAGCTAAATACGTTGTAAAGTAATCAAATTATGTCGGAAAGGTTAACCCTATTTGTACCGGGGGGTTTTCATGTTGATATGACCGGGGGTGCGCTGATAATGCGCAACCATCAGAAATTCTGTCGATTAATTGCCATCATCCTAAAAGTTTTATTTTTATTAAGTTTTATCTTTCTTTAACCTAAAAATAACAGAAAAGTTAAATTCACATTTAAAATGCTGTTTTTTGGCCCCATTAAATACGAAAACAATATTTTACGAACGAGCGCAGCGAGTGATGTTTTTAACACGGGAAGATAAAAGTCATATCTTCAAGCCATCGTGTAATGTTCTGTTTATTATATAGTCCCAAGCAAATATTGTAAAATTTCACGCTCAAAAGCAAATTGGAAAAAGTCGATCGATATCTGACGTGATCGATATCTTCACTAGTTAAGATATGGAAAATATCTCACTGTGTATTTTTCAGTATCTGACTCTGTACTATATAATAAAAACATTAGTCTATGACAAAATTAGTTTAACATGCAAATTGTCTATTCGCAGCTCTCTAATTGCTTTTCGTAACACGTACTTACCTTAAGCCAGTATCTTCACAGTATCTTTCGTAATTATAAATACTTATACCACTTTCACTTTTTGGATCATGTTTAGGGTCGGCAATTGCATCTAAGAACATAGAGTCACCAGTCAGATACATCTTGTGGCATTTATCCTTCATCTGTCCAATCCATTGATCTAGCCAGTCTGAACTGTACCCAACCGAATCTTCACCTGCTATATTTAGTTGTATAGATTTAATCTTGAATCTTGGAAATAGAAGATAGATAGGGCCATAGCTCCTTTGAACTTTGAAGTCTCTTTGCGAACTCGAGTATATCCTCTGCGAGATATTTCTTGGTTTAGTCCAAGCATGGGAATCGCTTGCTCGTTTGAGAAGAAGATCCTCCCTTTTTATTTCAGACTGGTTCAAATTGAAGAACAAGCATACGAGGAAATTTGAAAGAAACACAAGCCACGACTGGCATGTCAACGTCCTTGCAGACGCTGGGTTCAAACCCGATATGTATATGCCATGTTTGTTTACTGTCATCTTTCCTTTAACTATCCACACAACATTCCCAAATATTTTCGTTTAAATTCCCAAATTGTTTTCAAATCGTTTCCATATTTTAGCTTATTTTCATCATATTTTTATAAATATAAAATCTCCATAGCTATCTTGTATACACTAGATAGTGCAACTAATTAATATTCTGCAATTCAAAACTTGAAGCCGTGATTGCAGTCTCAGGTCGTTCCCATGAAATGAGAGAAGATTCGTATATTTCCTAATTCTTAAACAGGGAACTTAAATATTATGTTAACCCTATTCCAAATACATTTTTAAAGTATTCCAATGATGAAAGTTATTGTTGTTTTTACGTGTTTATTAGCGAGTGGGGACGACCAACATGGCCGCCATCTATTCAAATGGGGGTAACCGCTGGAATATTCTTGGCTTCAGTTTTACTAAAAGAGATGCGCTATCTAGTGTATATAAGATATAAATGAAAATCTTTCAAATATTTTTCACACAATACTAATAAATCACTGCTGAGGATGACTTATGGGACAGTTACCCTGCGCTCGCGGGGTAAACATCCCAGAATGCAGCAGGTACTGAATTACACATTCACAGGGGGGATTCTTGTCATGACCATATCACAAACAATTGCTAATGATTTTAATAATTATTTCTCCAGCATAGGTTCTAATATCGCTAGTGCAATATCAACGGTTAACATACCATTTGAAACTTTCCTGAACAGACCAATTTGGAACAGTTTTGTAATTTTTCCAACAAGTATCTTTGAAGTTGAAAGTATAATTAACAGTCATAATCCATCTAAATCAACTGGACCATTTGGTATTCCTATTAAGTTACTTAAGATTCTCAAAACTCTTGTATCTGGGCCACTTCTTATTTAATAAATTCCTCATTTTTATCAGGTGTTGTACCTGATAAATTTCAAATAACCAGAGTTATACCGGTGTATAAAAAAGGATTAAAATCTATTGAATCTAATTAGCGCCCTATCTCATTGCTTTCAGTTTTCGATAATATTCTTGAAAACTTGAACAATAACCTGAACAATAAACTATTAAATTTTCTTGAAAAACATCAAGTACTATTTTCAGGTCAATTTGGATTTCGCGCTAACCATTCTACTTCTCATGCGATCTTGCTCATTACTGATAAAATCGAAAAAGCAATTGAAAATAAGCTATACTTATGTGGTATTTTTCTTGATCTGAGTCAGGCTTTTGATACTGTTAACCATAACATCCTGCTAAAGAAACTAGAAAACTATGGGATAAGGGGAGCGGCAAATGAATGGTTCTTCTGTTATCTGCAGAATAGACAGAAAAGAAAAGTATAAAATATTTAGGAGTTCTAATGGATTGTCACCTTAACTGGAAAAGTCATGTCTATGAACTTTCTAAAAAAATTTGCATTTTATTGAAACTTAGAAATTTTATCTCTATCCATACACTGAAACAAGTGTACTATTCAATTATCTATTCATTCCTAACGTATGCTGTCATGGTTTGTGGGAACACCTATAAAACTAATACACTGCCCTTGACATTCCTTCAAAAAAAGACCATACGAATCATTACCTTCTCGGACTATCGGGCGCATACTTGTACTTTTTTCAAAGAGCTTACTTACTTAAATTTGTTGACATTGTTAATCTATATACTGCGATATGTACGTGCTTCAGTATAGGCAAGATTGCCTCCCACTTGACTTTGATGACCTTTTTACCTCAATCAATAGTAAGCATTTACTTGAAAGACGCTTAGAATCTACTTTTAACTACAGTTTACCCTAGTTCGGACAAACTATGGAATATTTAATATCACTTTTAGTGGACCTCAGATTTGGAATTCCTTAGATGAATCTCTTAAAATTTCTTCACCCAAGCCTTTTTGGTTGCACTAATAACAAATTTAACTCTTTATTTTAAGGATATAAAATTAAAAAAAAAAAAAAAAATATGAAATACAGCATTTACCACCCTGTAAATGTAGCACATGAGTATTTCAAAACATTCCGGACAAATCTCGCGTGGCCAAAGTGCTGGGCCGTGACAGGGGGTGAATTTTTCGCGAAGATAGAAGAGGGCTGTGTGCGACGACAGGAAACTGAACTATTAGTGAAAGCTAATTCTAAAATTAAAATTTATACAAATCTATACTATTATTTCCTAAACTCAATTTTTCTTAACTGTACATAACACATATTTTTCTACATTTTCGTGTTCACACGCAGCCTTCTATCTTCGCGAAAAACAATCACCTCTGACAGGGGTCACGGTCCAGCACACGTAGGCCGTCCCAAGCGAGAATTGTACCGAATGTTTTGAAATACTCGCAAGCTACAATTCACAGGGTGGTAAAATGCTGTATTTCATATGTTTTTTTTTTTATTTTATACCCTTAATGAAGGCTTAAATTGGTTATTAGTGCAATCGAAAAGGCTTGGATGGAAGAATAACGAGGCGGAATTGGTGACAACCGATACGGGATGACCAAATGGCGCCGAATTTGACACAAAGTTGAGTTTTTACCTTACCGATGGTTAAACATCTATGATCTACTTGAAACCTAGTCAAACCTTGTTTAAAATGTGCTTGATACCATTATGTACGAGCTGACATACATATCTGAAAGGATTTCAACAAGTATCGGTGATAAACAGCCGAGTGAAGTGGCGAATTTGGCCAAATACATCCATTTGCATGGGGTAGGTACATTTCAAATCGTTATTTCGGTCACAAAATATTAACTATTTTACATCAAAACAGTGCTAATGTACTTAAATAAGTACCAATTACATCTTTATAAAAAACATTTCGGAAAAAATTTAGTGTTGGTCCACTGCTGTTTATCTGAAGTTGTAAGCCACAAATTGACGTTTGACCATGAGTGTTGCCATGTCATTTTCTTGTGAAATATGAGTGCTAGGCATTTAACACTTACCAATGACCACCCATAAAAACACCATCTCTTGACCATATAAGCACCTCCGAATAGCCAAAGCTTTTATGGCTTGGTAGCAAGCACAATGCCGAAAGCGCGTTTTTGGGTGTGGTCAGTTTCGGACGTTTCGTCCCGGATTGGAGTTCGGGAAGCGTTACCATGTTGACCGTCATGTCAACTTGCCCTAGCTAAAACAGTTGAGATTATCTGTCCTAAATGAAATGCATACAAACTCATATACAGGTACTATACTACTACTGTTTATCTGAAGTTGTAAGCCACAAATTGACCATGAGTGTTGCATGGCCATTGTTTGACCATGAGTGTTGTATGGCCATTTCTTGTGAAGGATGACTGCTGGGCACTTCACACTTACCAATAACCGCCATAGGGAGCGGAGAATAATTATAAACTAAATAGCCAATCAGATCTCTCCTTTTGAACATCAAGCCCAGAGCCTTTTTTCTCCACGAGTTACCGAGTGAGATAAAGACTCTGGGGACGAGAATGTACACATCGTACGAAAATAACGAAAATTACGAAATATAAATTTGCATTTCGGTCGTAAATTTCACGGGTTTAGCAACAAATTAAGCAGATTTCTTTTGCTAGATAGTGAGACCATATCCCTCCTGTGTTTTATGCTTAATATGGTATGTTTCTGTTGAAATTTAAGCGAATTATGGCTAATTGCCTTTTTGTATGACTTCCGAGATCCAGCATCTCATAACAAAGGGTGTTAATTCTTCGCTGGTTTGATCATTCCTGAATGAACGGATCTTACTCCCATAAAAACTACCAGTGAACACGACGCTATTGTTTAAAAACTGCCAGCGAACATTCCGCCGATGTTTAAAAACTTTACAAAGAAAAACGACGACAGTTTTCGTATCTTACATATAATTATCTTATAGTTCTGGGTTAACAAAAAATAAGGTATTTTGGGAAATAATTGCAAACATTTTAAGCACTGAGGAATGCCATGAGTATAACATAATGTACGCTTGATACTTACTATACTGTTGCATAGAGAATATATACACCGTTATTGTAATTTGTGTATTACTAAAATCACATAGAGAATATATACACTACTGTTATTGTAATTTGTGTTAATTCTTCATTGTTTTTGTTATTGTTAAGAAAGTTAATTTCCTGATGTCACAGCATGAATTGTTATTTTACAATCCGTAAATAAACACAGTTACACGGCATCACCGTGGTCACAGCGAACAACTTTGTAGTTTTATTTGATGCATTTCGCTTAGAAATACTTCTATCATATATGTATCATTATATCGTAAGTTTGAAAGAATTTAAAAATAGCATTAAATTTGTAACATGAAACTGTAACATCTCTATAAACTTTATAAAACTTTTGTAAGTTTCCTTGATTTTATTTTTGTAAATCCTGTACTGATGTGTTACCGAGGTTAAATAAATTCACTACAGATAATACTTTAATACTTTTAAACTACGTTTACACAACGACGGTATAAAATTAAAAATGGCATGAAAAGGTATCGTTCCAAAAATTACTTCCGTACCGACACGCAATGAGTTTTTAGCAGTAATCAATCATTGTGAACATGGATCAAAGATACAGAAATGTTAAACAACAAATTGCAAATGTTGTAAAAGCTAGATAAAAGGCTGTTTTAGGATGTAACGGCCATAGATATCTTATATACACTAGATAGTGCATCTGATTATTCTGCAATTCAAAAATTGAAGCCGTGATTGCAGACTCAGGATATTCCCATGAAATGGGAAGACTCGTATGTTTTCTATTTCTTAAACAGGGAACTTAAACATTAAGTTAAACCTATTCCAAATACATTTTCAAATATTCAATGATGAAATTTATTGTTGTTTTTTAAGCGTTTATTAGCGAGTGGGAAACTCCAACATGGCGCCATCTATTCAAATGGGGGTAACCGCTGGAATATTTTTGGCTTCAATTTCACTAAAAGAGATGCGCTATCTAGTGTATATAAGATATCTATGGTAACGACATTCATATGTTTAATCGATACACAGCAAGATCCAAAGTTGCCAGACATG